TTTACGATGAGCGCGAGTTGTGGATCGTCGAAATTGGTCAATAGAGAAAACGGATTCGAGCGCCAAAATGTGTTTTGCTCCAAAAATTGTATCGTTTGTGTTATTTTTTCCCACGACGGTAGTGTTGCATTTTTACTACGAATTATCGCATCGAAAACGGCAGCTTCTGAGTGTATGTGCGTAATGGCCTCGTCAAAGAGATCAGGCTCATTTTTCCAGATGGACTGAATCTTGGACAGCCAGCAGAATCTCTCTAACATCTCCGGAAGGCTTGTCATTGCGTATCATACGGGTGCTGTAACATTGCAGCTCGACAGCTGACTAATATCGATCGCTGTTAGAAGCATTTAAATTTTACTGCGCACGCGGCCTGCACAGGAGTAGCTGCGTGCCTCATTAGACAAGTAGGCCTCGGAAGAGAAAGAAAAAACATGGCAAGCAGTCTTGCGGGCTATAGATTTTACATACCCTGTGAAAGCGGTCTCCTCAAGCCATTCCTCAATGAATCCGATAGGCGGATGTTGTCAATTCAAAAATCTTGCAACTGTGAAATCCGCCTTACCCAAGAAGCTCGCCTCAAACGGGGCCAGAAGGTTAGAGCTGTAATAGTAACGGGCCTTGATAAAAATTCTCTTGAGTCCTGTCTTCGTCGACTTGATGACACCTTTCCCCGATTCTATGCATGTGCTAACCTGCAGAGTGCAAAATCGGCTCTCAAAATTGTGGAACTTAAGAGATACCTAACCGATGAGGACCTGGTCATTGACAAACCGTCGACACCGATTACGTACTATCAACTGGCTTTCAATCTCGACAGGTCAGATATACCAAGCTATGAAATATGGCGCGAAGGCTCCGACGCGTCACTGATCAAAAAATTAGGTTGTACCATAGTCGTATCCTCTAAGGATACTCCGGGAACCGGCTTCCTCAGGAGGTATGCCCTCATAACAGGAGAAAATAAGAAGGCTGTCATTCACTCCTATGATATTCTGCGCTCCACGTTTACAAACCTTCCCGAGTACACAGGCGATGGTTAGCCGTCCCAAGCGCAGTGATCTTCCGGATTTACAAAATACCTGTTTCTGTCACATTTTTGAAACCTCTAAATGGCTGCCGGAATTGCACCATGCAAGGAGGGCGAAAGACGCACGGATGAAGAAATCAGAATATTTTTGAGACAGCTGCCTTTCAAGAACCCAGTTCGTTAGATTCCACATTTACCCACTTCCTTGGTCAAACTGACTTTTACTACAGAACATATTTTCAGATTTAGGTCTTTTTATTTTTCTTATCGCTTGTAGTCTCTGGTTGTTATTGCCTCTCAAAGATGCCTTAGTCGACTTGTATTTGAAATGCTTCCACTTGCTTTGATTGGTCTCCTATGAAAAAAATTCAACTATTTGCCCTCATTATACCATATTCTAACAATGTCTTAATTATTTAAGTACCAGAATTTGTACAAAATCCAGCAATGACGGATATCATAAAAATTATGGGGATAAGGATTAGGCCAAGGAGTAAGAACCTAAGACGAAGTAAGAGTGCAATGCCCTCAAAAAGGTAATAACTGATTATGTTTCTAACCAATTGGAAAACAGTTTACGGCTTCGCTGCATTGAGGACTGGTCATCACATCCAAAGATGCCGTATAGACACCTAAGTTCCACGAAGCTGGATCTGTCCAGTCATAGAAGGTGTATTTTGTTTGTCCTCAGCGGCTCCGATATTCGATCAGGTGTCTGTTACGCGGTTTTGACGCTGTGAAAGTTGCCCCAAGCGGCAGACCCCAACCACACTGACGGTCTTGCGCCAAGCGAGAGTTTTCTTTAAAATACGATGTCCCGGATGTACGAGGTAGGTAAAACCAATTAGCTTATTGATGGTTGTTGTAGAAAATCAAAATATTTCCGATCTAAATACGCTTCGGTGAGAGACCCCTGAGAAAAAAGATCGCTGAAAGGTTGTGGATGAATTCACGAAGTATGGGATCAAATGACTCTTGAAATGGCGGAGTGGGTAAACACTGTCTGCTGAATCGACAAAGTTTCCTTAAACTATTCGTAAGTGTTCATAGATTCATCTTGGTGCCTCAGTTGCCGCACAGATCTGTGTGTGTCGGGCACCCTTCCGTCCAATTGTCGTCCAAGATTGTAAATGCAAGTCTGTGCACGTGAAATGAATGCGTAAACCGGTGCCGAAGACCGAGTTCGTCTCGGGTTAGACAATTCGCAATTCCTGTGTATCCGTACCTGCACGTGTGTGTGAAAGAGCAGTCGGGTTCTCGGCCAATCGCAGCCCTCCACCTCAAGGCCGAATCAGATATGTCCCATGGCGCTTATTCCACCTTCACGCGGGACGTCATTCTGGTGCCCTCAATCGTGATCCCTCGTCCGTATGCTAGATTGATACTAAAACCCTCATGGATCCGGTTAGGGAATATGCTCATTGCGTTGTGCCTTGGAGATCAATATAGAGCTCCTGCAGGCAGTCGCACAGGGGGCTTATAGCAATTGATTGAGTGGAGCCTTTAAAGACAAGGGAGACCGGAATGAATATTTCCGGATCATTAGCCGTCATCCCCCGATCTCAGGTGTTGATCGCCCGAGATTCGAACTCTGGTCATGGAATGTAACGCTCTACCATTGAGCTACGGGCCCATTGTTTTTATCGGTTGCGATCGGGAATATGATGATAGTAGGGCACTCAGCGATCTAGTTAGGGAATATGCTCGTCCTCTTGTGCTTTGGAGTTCAGTAGTAGAGTGTTACACTGCGGGTTGGAATATGGCGTGATCCACACCTTGGATTTTCTATGGCTGGCTGATGACGGCTAATAAGCCGGAAATAGCCACTATGGTCTCCCCTGTCTTTCTTGGTTCCACTCCATCAGAGGAAACAATATTATCTCCACTGGCATCAACATTTTTCTTTGCTTTTACGGGAACGGACCCAAAGTCGTAGTGACTTGGGTCGCCCGTAGGCTTCAGCTGTCACGACAGTTAAACTCTATCGTCCATGAAAGGCTCCTGAGAGAGTTTGGGCATGTTGTGCATTAGCTGATATGCGGTGCCACTGCTTAAGATGAGGTTATTAAACAGCCTACGACATTCGACCATTGCAGTTAGAGAATAGTGCGGGATGATCTGGCTAGATTCGTAGATAGTCGCGTTTGACAAGTCACTATTCATGCCGTTATTAGGCCTTGCTAGGTGCGGTATGTTTTAAGCTCCGTCAAATGAAACTGGTCATCGTCATCACAAAAACTAGATCTGCCCTTCATTTAGTATAATCTTGCAGACCCCTGGCAACAAGTAATGTATATCCGGACAACCGGGTAACTTCGTAAGGAGCATATCGGTGCCTCTCTACAGTGACCATTGGACGAGGGTACGTTTTGTTTATTTCCTTCGAACTAAGCGTTAGAACCTAGGGCAACTCCCTTGTTATGCATATCTTCAGGTTCAGTGAAAACCGCCAAAGCAGATGTTTGACCTGAAATAGTTTGTATGCCACTACCTGCCTGCTGGTGGCCTGTGACAAGTGTCCTTCTAGTTCTGGTTGAATTGCCTATCAATCACTAACTTTGTTGTACATGCCTTACGATGTCTGATGTATGTTGTGCGCTCCGCTGCTTGTGTGAGACCTGACCGAGAGACGGTGCTGGCCGCTTTCCACGCCAGGACGCGCAGCGGGAACAAACCCAATAATCGATATCATGATCTTAACGGTGATAAAAACAGCAGGATTTATTGGATCCATGAAAATTCAGGAGAGCTCTTCAGCTGCTTCCTCTAATTGCATTATATGAATGATGAATGAGTAAATACTAAATTGACTTGGTACAGGAAAGTGAGAAAGGTCATAGGGTACGGTCACGAAGCCTAAAGCAAATCCTGATATTTTTGCCATCGTTTAATTTGCACCAGGGGAACGTTGCTTTAGATATCTTGATTGTCTCACAAGTGTGTGTGTTCCACTACTAGGTATTATACCCCTACTAGCATTAATATTCGAATACTATGTTTACCAATACAGTAGTCGCCGTCTATTAAGCCCACCTCGGGCCCAGAACAAATTTGGCTTAATAGGCGGCGGGCGCATTAACCGGAGAGTCCTAGCTCTTGATTAGC